TTTTTTTTTTTTTTTTTTTTTTTTTTTAAGGAGACAGGGTCTCATTGTTGCTCAGGCTGGTCTTCAACTGGTGAGCTCAGGCAATCCACTCACCTCAGCCTTCCAAGTGCTGGGATTACAAGCATGAGCCACAGCGCCCGGCCTACAATAAGCTTTTGTGGGATCAATGTATTTTTAATTTTTAGTCGCAGAACTTCACTCTTATAATGTGTTAAGTTGAATTGCTTTTAGAAAGATTTGATAGAATGATGTGACTAATGAGTATATTTGTCATGTGTTTTGCATGATATAGGTTGAGTATCCCTTGTCTAAAATGTTTGGGACTAGAAATGTTTAGGATTTCAGAACTTTTTCAGATTTTTGAATATTTGCATTATACTTATCAGGTAAGCATCACTGTACCCAAAATACAAAATCTGAAGTGCTCCAATAAGCATTTCCTTTGAGCATTGTGTTGTTGCTCAAAAAGTTTTGGTTTTTGGAACATTTCAGATTTTGTATTTTTGGATTAGGGACACTTACCCTATACTGTGTCGACCAGCGGTTCTGAACCTGTGGGTTGCAACCCACAGGAACTGTATTAAAAGGCTGCAGCATTAGGAAGGTTGAGAACCGCTGGAGTAGACTTTGGATCAGTTAAATTCTCCTTGGATAGAATGCCTGGGCACATCTTGTCTTTTGGCTAGAAAAGCAGTTCTGGCAGTGATGTATACATTTTGAAAATAGCAACTTTTTAGTAGAAAAGTTGTATATCATCTTTAAATATCTTTTCACAGTTATTAAAAACAATTTTGTATTCTTATATTTTTTGCACTAGTATGTGAGAGACTTTTGGACTTGAAATTCATCCAGGTTGTCTGGAACCTGATGGTAGTTTCTGAAATGACCCCTTGTTCTTCACCCTTTTTAATTCATTCATTTGATTAGCTCTGCTATAGCTAAGCTATATGCTTACTGTTGCCAATGGCTTATTCTGTCTTTTTGTTTGTTGTTGTTTTTAACTGTCTTTTAATCATCACCTCCAATAAGACTTAGCTTAAAAAAACACTTTCTAGACTCGGTGCCTATAGCTCAGCAGCTAGGGCAGCAGCCACATACACTGGGGCTGGCGGGTTTGAACCTAGCCTGGGCCTGCCAAACAAGAATGACAACTAGAACAACAAAAAATAGCGGGGTGTTTTGGTGGGCGCCTGTAGTCCCAGCTACTTGGGAGGGTGAGGCAAGAGAATCCCTTAAGCCCAAGAGTTTGAGGTTGCTGTGAGCTGTGACACCATGGCACTGTACTGAGGGCTAACATAGTGAGGCTCTGTCTCAAAAAACAAACAAACCACTTTGTATATTTCTCTGTTGAATCTTACCAACTCTCATTATTATTTTACCTTATTGTTTGTGTTCAGTTAAAACTTTAGTGTCCTTTTGATTATTTCTGATTATTCTTGGGTTACTTAAGAGTTATAGAAAATTATCTCAAGGACAGATAGATATTTGCCTTTATCTTACTTTTAATCTTCGACCCCTAAGCCTAATATAGGACAGAAATAGAGAAGTTGACTTCTAAATGTGTATTGATTCTTGATTTTCATTTCTTTTTGCGTATGTGTCCATATTACAGAATGATTCTTGACTTTCTTATTTTGCAGAAATGTTGGCCGTCATTGTCTCCGAGCTCACCTTGGTCCTCAGCTCTGTATCAGAAAGTAAGTTTTTAAGTCTAGAGATGATTATCCTTTTCTTTTCCTTAGGAAAAAGCAGTAGCTTGTTGACTTAGATTTGAGGGCTATGTATGAACGCAGGCAGTTGTAGACAATTGGTTGAAACCTTAGTAATTGTGGTTACTACTATTTTTTTCCTCCAGGAGTAGAAAAAGGACAGATATTTATGTGGTTCTTTCTTTCCTACTTTTCCTTCCTTTTTCCCCCTTCCTTTTCTTTCCTTTCTTTTCTTTTTCTTTCTTTTCTTTGCTTTCTTTCCTTTTTTTCCTTCCCTTCCTTTTCTTTTCTTTCTCTTCCCTCCCTCCCTTCCTTTCTCTCTCTCTCTCTCTCACAGCAACCTCCAACTTTTGGGCTTAAGCAATTCTCTTGCCTCAGCCTCCCAAGTAGCTGGAACTACAGGCACCCACCACAACGCCTGGCTATTTTTTGTTGCAGTTGTCACTGTAGTTCAGCTGGCCCTGGCCGGGTTTGAACCTGCTGGCTTCGGTGTATGTGGCTGGCGCCACTGTGCTGCAGACACTGAGCCTTATTTGGTCTTTTGTTAATTTTTCTTACTTTCAGCTTTTCTGCTGAATTAGAAATCAACTTCATTGAGTTCTTGATTCCTTCTTTGATATCTAATTCCCTTCTTTGTTTTGTCTTTCTTCCCTTAATGCTTTCTTTTTCCTTTTTTTTCTTTGAGACAGAGTCTTTGTCACCCTCAGTGGAATGTCATGGCATCACAGATGACAGCAACCTCAAATTCTTGGGCTTAAGAGATTCTCTTGCCTCACCCTCCCAAGCAGCTGGGACTATAGGCTCCCACCACAATGCCCAGCTATTTTTATAGATGAGGTTTCACTCTTGGTCAGGCTGGTCTCGAACCTGTGAGCTCAGGCAATCCACCTGCCTTGGCTTCCCAGAGTGCTACAAGCATGAGCCACGGCATCTGGTTGATTTTTTTTTTTCTTATAATTTTGGGCTGCTCCTATGACTTAATCTTGAAATATATGTTTTTATTTTATGTATTCATTCCAGTCTGTTGACTTTAGCAGTTGCCTTTGTGTTTTTGTAACTTTTTATTTTGGAAATATTTTACACTTTCAGAAAAACTATAAAAATAGTATGAAAAGTATATACTTTTCACCCAAATTCATCAATTGTTAACATTTTGGTATGTTTGCTTATTATGCTTTCTCTGTATTTTAAGTTGTGCCACATAAAATTGTTATTTTTGTAGATTAAAACTGATAACATATTGACAATTTAGTGTGGTCAGTTTAATTTATATTTAATTATTGTTATTATTTTCACTGACTGTGTTGAGGATACATTGTGAATATTATGACCCTTTACCTTGAAATATGTCTCCTAAGAACAGAGAAATTATCTTATGTAATGTAGTATAATTATGTAAACATAATTTTTTGATTTAGGAAATTTAACATTGGTGAACTCTTACCTGATTTACAGTTGATTTTCAGATTTTCAATTTCTTCCAAATGTACTTTATAGAAATACAGCTCCCTATTCTCACATTCAGGATCTAATTAGGCTTAACACATGGTACTTAGTTATCCTATTTCTTTAGTATTCTTTAATCTGGAACTGTTTCTTAGCCTTTCTTGGTCTCTTATGGCATTGGCATTTTTTGAAGAATACAGGCCAAGTTGTTTGTTTTTTTGTTTGTTTGTTTTTTGTGAGACAGAGTCTCAAGCTGTGGCCCTGGGTAAAGTGTTGTGGCATCATAGCTCACAGCAACCTCCAATTCTTGGGCTCAAGCAATCTTCTTGTCTCAGTTTTTCTATTTTTAGTAGAGACAGGGTATTGCTTTTGCTCAGGCTGATCTTGAACTTGTGAGCTCAAGAAATCCACCTCAGCCTCCCAGAGTGCTAGGGTTACAGGCATGAGCCACCACGCTCAGCCCAGGCCAGTTGTTTTATAGTGTTTCCCAAGTTGGGTTTGTCCAAATGTTTCCTAATTAGGTTCAGTTTATGTATTTTTGGCAGGAATAATAAATAGGTGATGTTATAGTCTCAGTATATTATATCAGGGGCCATATGATGCTGTTATTGTGCCATTATCAATAAGTTTTAGCTTTGATCATTTGAATAAGAAAATGCCAGGTTTTTTATACATAAAGTTACTCTTATTTCATTTTATAATTAAGAAGTAATTTATAGGGTATATTTTCTTAAGGAGAATGGAATCATGTTTAATACAGACATACAGGCACATAATAAACTATTGAGCATTGCCATTTAACAGTTGATTTCAACCTAGCCAATGACAAGAGAAACTGAGACACTATTCAGAGTAAGCTTGGTTTCCCATTTCACTGAAGTTCTTGGTTTTAAGAACTTGAAAGGGAATCTTGAAAGCCAGATGAGAACAGATGACAATGTATGAGATAGCACCTGGTGCCTAGGAAAAACGTAATCAATTTACTCTAATTGTTTTGAAATGTTGCACTTGCCCTGAAGCCCAGCAAGAAAGAAGTTGAGCTTTCATTGCCAGACCTGTGTACTGGGTGGGATTGGAAAGGGTGTTTCCTCTCATATGCCCTCACTGGGTTATTGGGGTTATTAATAATCAAATTTGGCATAAAAGTAAGTTTAAGTGAAGGAATATGGTTGCCTAGTACAGTGAGTTTGTCCAGTCCATCTTACCATTTTAAGAAAACTTTTTGTTATGTGAAATGGGAAACCGAGCTTATTTTTAACTCTTTTAAGACTTTTTTTTTTTTCCTTAGTGCTGTTCCGTTGGGAACCACAGCCAAAGAAGAGATGGAGCGGTTCTGGAATAAGAACACAAGTTCAAACCGTCCTGTATCTCCTCATGTCACTATCTATAGGTAAGGGCTCTGGAGCCAGAGAATCTAGATGTAGTGAGTGAAAGTTCTGGACATTGGCCCTTAGTCTGCCTAGTATATTTCTCACTTTTACTCAACCGTAAGTACAGCTGTGTAGATCAAGTGAACCCTTCAGGGTAGAGGGAGCTACTATAAGGGTTATCTCAGGGCTGGTTTGTTTGGAGATGATTAAATTCTGTCTTTTAGCCTTAGAAGGGTTATGTCTTCTGTAAAACTATCATTTGGAAAATTCTGCTAAGCTTAAATGTAGTTAATTTTTTAAAAATTGAAATAATTTCAAATTTACATAGAAGCTACAGAAATAGCATAGAGTTCCTATGTACCTTTATACAGATTCCCAGCATGTTAATGTATCTGAATGATGTAAGAATAAGTTTTAGAGATGATGTTCCATTACTCCTGCATTAGTTTTCTACTGATGCTATAACAAATTTTCACAAGCTTAGTGGCTTAAAATAACACAAATTTATTGTCTTACCATTCTGTAGGGGAGAAGTGTGACACACATCTCAGGCTAAAATTAGGATGTTTACAGGGGGCTGCATTCTTTCTCTAGAGGCTCCTTTTCTAGCTTCAGGGGGCCACCCACATTCTTTAGCTTGTGGCCTTCTTTCCCCATGATCAAAGCAAGTAACAGCAGAGTCTTCACTTTGTTATCTGCTGACTTCTTCTGTCAACCTCTTCTACTTTCAAGGATGCTTGTCATAACATGTGGATCTCTCCGAGTAATCCAGGATAATCATACCAATTTAGGGCCCTTAATTTAACCATGTGTACAAAGTTCCTTTTGTGACAGAGGTAACATATTCACTGGTTGTGGGGATTAAGACATGGATGCCCTTGGCAGGGAGCATTAGTTTGCCTACCATAATCTTCTATCCTTCAAAGATCATGCCCGTTTCATGCTAAATACATTCACCCCATCCCGGTGGTCTCAAAAGTTTCAACCAATTACAGTATCAGCTCACAGTCTTAAGATTTCATCTTAATCGGATGTGGGTGAGGCTTTGGGTAAAATCCCACCTGAGGCAAGTTTTCTCATTTGTGAAACTCCACACATTACCGACTTCCAAAGTACAGTAGTGGCACAGACATAGGATAACAGCTGTGGACATTCCTATTCAAAAAGTGAGCAAATGGGCCAGGCACAGGTGGCTCATGCCTATAATCCTAGCACTCTAGGAGGCCTAGGTGGGTGGATTGCTTGAGCTCAGGAGCTAAGAGACCAGCCTGAGCAAGAGGAAGACCCCCAAAGTAGCTAAACGTGGTGGTGGGTGCCTGTAGTTCCAGCTACTCGGGAGGCTGAGACGAGAGTATTGCTTGAGTTTAAGAGTTTGAGATTGCTGTGAATATGATGATGCCATGGCATGCTACCCGGGGCAACAGAGCGAGACTCTGTTTCAAAAAAAAAAGAAAGAAAAAAGGAAGGTAGAGAAGGAAAGAAAGAAAGAGAAAGTGAGAACAATGGAAGGAAAAAAGGAGTCTTTGGTTCCAAGCATGTTTGAAATCCAGCCTCGTAAATGCCATTCACTTCTTCCCTCTGGGCTTATAGCTTTACCCTCTATCTTTCCTTATTCATGAAAGGTGGCAGTTGTTTTTGCAGCTGAGTAGTTTTAACAGCCTGTTTCTTGTCTATAGACTTTTAGGGTCAAAAGGCCTTCTTTTTATCTTCTCTGTAACTTTTAGTCCATGCTGGCAGTTCCTATTGCTATTACATTCTGAAGAACCTATGGGGTTCCTATGTTTGTCATGGGGATTTGCTCCATTAGACACAAGACTCCCCTAGAGATCCTTCCTAAGTGATGGCTGTCTCTATTTTTGGTTTCTGCTCAGATGCTTGGGGGATCTATTAGTAACATGCTTGATCTCTGGAGTCAAAGAGCTTTTTATGTGACTGAATACTCTAACCTTTGATATTTTTGAGGTATTAGCAAAAGGTTGTATGGCCACACATTTGGCTTTTTCTCTTTTGGCAGTAAATGTCTTAATTTTAGTTTTTTTGCAATTTGGAAAGGCAGAAGAGTTCCTCAATTTTTTTTGTGTGTGTGTGTGATTAAAGTGGCTTTTATTCCACCTAGAGTGGAGTGCAGGTGGAGTGAGATTCTTGACTAGGGAGAAATCCACCTCTCAAATCAAGTCCTGACTTTTTAAAAAAGTTTTTGTTTAAATTTTTCCCTCAGTCTATCTCTTTGCTTTTGTGTTTTACTATAAGCCACAAAAAGAAACTAGGTTGCACTTTGAGTAAATTCTATTTTCCACGTTACTATAGGACACAATTCTGTTAAACTTTCTGCCCTTGTGTATCAAGGTCCCCTTTCTTCAAGTTTTTAATTAACATATTTCTCATTTCTTTTATAGCTCTTGCTATGAATTAACATCTATATTTTTTTTT